CCCCCCTCCCTCTTCTTCATTTCAATACTCAATACTCATTTCTCAATCTAAATTTCTCTCAATCTCTCAATCTCCAATTTTCAAGACTTCAAGTCTCAATCTCAATTTTCAAGTTAAATCATGCCTCGTTCGGAAAGAGTGCGCTTATTTGTGTCGCAATACTATGAAGTGCTTGAAGAAAATGAAGAAGGCCAAATATTAAAGTGCAAGAACTGTGGAAGAGTCTTAAATTTTCGTTCAGGGTGTACCACAGGCATTTTAAGGAGGCATATAAAGTATTGTGTTGAGGGTATTTATCCGCAAATTCGTCTTTAAGATTTTTCAACAATTTGTGTTATTTTAAAATTATTAGACGTATTTATGCTTCATGTTGTACTTTGTTATTAATTTATTATGCATGCCAATTTAGTTTTACTATTGATTTGTTATTTTACATTTTCGTCAAACACTTTAATAATTAGATTTCTATATTATATATACCACATATATTTATATAGCCATGCATAAGAGCAATTTATATATATACATACACATACGGTTTACAAGAAATTGCCCTAAATAAAAAAAATTAAAAAAAAAAGCCCGAAAATAAAAAAAGCCCGTTAGGCCCGCTAAGCCCACGAGCCCGGCCCATTTAGCCCAGGACCATATGGGCTTAGGCCCGTCACGGGCTGGTCCTACCCGTTGAGCCCACGAAGCCCGGGACCGCGAAGCCCGGGACCGCCAGAGCCCGGGACCGCTAAGCCCGGGCCCGTTTAGCCCGGCCCGTTTAGCCCATTTAGGCCCGGGCCCGGGCCCATATACAGCCTTACCAACAGAGATGGACAAAAGCTGGGAACGAAGGCAAATATTTCCGTTCAAAATGTTAATTTGACTTGCGTGATAATAAACAAATGCAAACTGGTATATGGAAGACAAACAATGTTTTCCGGCCCGATTCATGCGTCTCCGCCGGCGGGAGCTGTTGCGTCGCCGGCTGGAAGCATGGATTTTCTGTTTGGTTCCGAGAAGAAAAGAAAATAGTGTGAGAGGAATTTTGAGATTGAGCATCGTATTTTCAGGGAATGGAGGAAGAGAATGGGATGTATCAAAGTAGAGAGAGAAAGAAAATAGTGTAACTCAATAGCGTATTTAGTGGCTTAGGGCTAGGAGGTAACCAAAATTAAATATTTTGCTATAAACATTAAAAGGGTATCTATATAATATAATTTTTTTAAATGGTATTTATTTAAAATAAATAAGATGTTAACCTTTGCTATAGGAGGTAAAAATTCCAATAAAGAATATGGTCTAAACAGTAGCGAATCCAGGATTTAGACAATGTAACTTCTAGCTAAGTTAAAAATGCACTGATAGAATACATGCTTGATTTCTTTTGTATTATTTTCCGCCTTTCGTTTTATAAGATGATATTTGATTATGCACGGAATTTGAGAAAAAACGAAAGATTATGGGAACTTGTTGCCGTACATGTTCTGACATTTATGTCACTGTAAGAGCATCTCACCGACGGTAAAATGTTAATGAATGAAGTTAAAGAATTTCGAATATACAAACAACTCTTAATCTCTTACTCATAGCAATAATCCAACAAGATAATCACAGTACAGAATGATGCCTCCCTTTTATTTCCTTGCATCTTCAGTAGTGATTATACTAACACAGGAAAAATAGAGTTTTATCTCAGAAAATTTACATTTATAGTGAATTCCTTTACTTCACTAGTCCATTGAGATGAGGCAGTAATATTGATAGACCCAATACTTGTAATGACAAAAATGCAATTTCAACGTTAATTCCATTACTAATCAAATCCTACTGTTGATGCCTTATGATTATCAACCATCACCACATCATGTTTACGACTATAATACAACAATAACAACAGTTACGCCTCAATTCTAAACAAATAAGTATCTAACTATATGAATTCTCAGTATCAATTGCTCCCATTTAAGCTCATGCTATTCAAGGAACCCTGTTTTGCTTAAGATTGCATTTCTCACCCTGCTCAAATCTCTGCCTTTTAAAGTTCTTCCAACTCCTTCACACACTGAGAAAGAAGATATTTGGCTCCTTTCATGTTTTTTAGCAAGCCATTGATGTGGAGGCATCGTTTCTCCTTCATAGTCGTCTTCTTCTTCATCGCTTTCGCGACTATTTCTTACGAAACTATATCCTCCACCACCACAATCATCTGTTTGTTTTGAGGTCGTCCCATAAATTTTTGACCAATCGGGTATGTTTACTGGGGCTGATTGCTGAGCTATTTTAGGTTCGTGAATGGAATTCTTGTTTGATTTTGGAATCATTTTGACTGCAGTGGGCAGCCTCCTTGGACTGAAATTTGAAGACGACTCTTTACTTTTGCTGAAATTAGATCCAATTTCGCGTATTTCGTTAGTAAAATTACTCCAAATGTCTTCTTCTTGAAATTCTTCATTCCTCATTGATGTCCATCCACTACTACCTTGGCTATACAAATTATACCTCCCTTCATATGATGATGACATCTTCTGCAAAACCCAAAATTCCAATCAAGTCAAAGAACATAAATATGTGAAGATGCAACAGTAACTACGTACGCCTCAATTCCACACAAGTTGGGTCGGCTATATGAATCATCACTGACCATGTTTCTCCATTTAAATACATTCTCATGTCATAATAATCATACCAAATATGTGAAGATGCACTTTTTAGAAACTTTATAAATGCAAAATAGGCAATTTATGTACCTGCAGCCCCTCAATAGAGCCAGACACTAAGGTAAATGATGAGTAAGTTGATTAATCTTTTCTTAAAATATTATTTTTCTAGAGTTAAATTATAGGAGTCTAGCAAAGGTAAAGAACAGATTTGATTTTGAAAATCTGGAACAAGTTTCGATTCAAGATAGTCTATACAATCGTCCCAAGTTCAGGGACGATTTGGGTGCCCGAACCTTATGTGAATGCGGGATGCTTTGTGCACCAAGCTACCCGTCCTAAATTATGCAATTATATCCTTACTAAACTGTGTACAAGATGAGTGTAGAATGTACCTGTCTCTAAAAATGAAACTTGCAACACAGATAGCTTTCTTCAGATCTTGAAAATCGTATTATCTGCAAAAACAAAAGGATAAATTATTATAGTTCTCCGGCCTGAGATTAACACAGAGAAGAGAAAGATTAAAAGAAAGAAAAACCAATGATTAATATCGTTTATGGAAAAAGCAGTGTAATCACAAGACAGTTTTTTACCTTAAAATCCTATGAATAGCTCTTGCTGATGAGTGAAATTCTCAGAAGAGAGAGTGTCACATAGGAGAAAAGAACTGTTGAGCAATCAAGGAGAGATAGAGACCTTATAAATATTGGACCTAAGAGATTTCCTAAATAATTGACCTATGTGTATTTTTACTTTTTGTCTTTTGCAAATGCTTGACTTTCTCATAAAGAAAGATTAGTGACACCATATGAAATCTGTAAACTATTTCACTTAAACTGACAGTCTGATGAATGTTAAATCCACTTTAGAATGTTTTTGGAAAGAGGAGGATAAAAGTGATTACTTGGGGTTGGGGTTGTTTGGCATGATGGATAAGCAAAAGTAATTTTGGGATAAAAATTTAGTATCACTTTATTTATTGCTTGATAATTAATTTTGGGATTAGTTATTTCAGGATTAAAACTAGTATCGTAATAACTTATACCTGCCAAATAATGGAATAATAATCTCAGGAAAAGCAGTAAAATTGACAATTTCGGGATTAATACAACATACCAAATAATCAATAAAAAATAATATCAGAAGAACTAATCACAGTAATTCCGATATAACTTATTTTCAAACCAAACGATCCCTTAGTGATTTTACAATATAGTAAAATTGCTTAGTGAATTTACAGGGACAGTTGGGTAGTACCTGTTTGCTTTATAATAAGGTTGTCGTCACATGATAGATTGTACATATGATATTAGGAAAAAAAGCTGTTTAAGTCTCTCGCCCCTTTCGTGAATGTTTCCTTAAACTGTCTTCTTGTGCCAGAAATTATTTAACCTTAAATAAGGCTCTTTTATAGAAAAACCTAATATATATAGTAGTTGTCACGGGCGCGTTTTATGTCTCACAAAAATAGCCCGCGCGGCAGCCAAGACTCGCCTTGACTTCAGCCTACTCCAACACTCGGCCAAAATTTCAGCAACATTGGACTTTAGATAAATTTAGGTAGTGTTCAACGTAGTAAGCTTAGAATGAACTTAGGCAACGAAAATATAAGTGAAGGGACAGAATTTAAACATGAACAAAAGACACAATATTACAGGAAACTCTTTTCCCAACTTTGTATTTAACTCGAGCATACAAAGAAACTCAACTCGAAGTACATCCGTGTACAAAAATGAAGATCACTCTTGACCCTCACAAGACTACTCTTAGCCTTAGGTTTTTCCACTCTTGAAAACAAGACTTGGGACTCCTTTCTAACTCAAAACATGCACTCTTACACGTTTTTTTTAACTCTTTTAGTGTGCTCTCACACGTTTTTCTCACATATCACAAAAGGAAAGGGTGCTGCCCATTTANGTGTACAAAAATGAAGATCACTCTTGACCCTCACAAGACTACTCTTAGTCTTAGTGTTTCCACTCTTGAAAACAAGACTTAGGACTCTTCCTAAATCAGAAAACATGCACTCTTCACGTTATCAGCCCCATTTACACAATAGTTGCCCCATTTTAGGCCTTAACACTTGCCCACACAGACCACTACTTTACTTTAGTGTAGTTGACACCCCAACTACTAGGATCATGTAAATCATGCTAAAGATAGTGAGATCATGGCCTCCAAAAACGTAGCTAACTCCAGCCAGCATTTTAGACAAACACAACTGCTGCCCATGTGCACAGCATGTGCCGGTAACCGCCATTGACTTTGTCAAACCATGACTTGCTGCCCCAATTTCGTATCTTGGCTTGGACCAGCTCCAATGCCATTGTATCCATCTGCATTGTGCCATAAATTGCCTTGCCATCGCCCACGAACTTGGCCCGTTTGCCGCAACTCATTGCCATGACAAATTTGCCCGCGCACTGCCTTCCCGTCGCAGATTTGCTTGCCTTTGCCTATCCGTTTTTGCCTTGCCTTGGCTTCAATGCCTCATGCCTTGATGCCTTTGCCATAATCAAGTGTCACCCTTAGCCCGCAACTCATTGTCAAGCCCTTGCCAAGCTGCCTCGCATCCGTTCAAAGCCTTAGCCATCACTTGCCCGTTTTCCCTTTTTGACTTTGGTGCTACTCGCTTCACCTATCTTTGCAACACTCTTGCTGCCTCATGACAACACTCTTGTTGTCAAGTCGAGCTCAATTGGCGGAGGTCTAACAAACCACCCATACTCTTTGAAACTCGACGTCCTCGTCGAGGTCAACTCAATGTATGAGTCCCAAGGGGTTGACAAGCAATGCCCCTTGACCTCCTCTCTCCTCGGCTACAATTGCATTGACACCAACAGTTTGTTTGTCACTGTTTGACGCCTCCAAAGCAGCCCTCTTCTCCGCGGCAGTCAAAGCATTTAACACTGCCTTGTTCGGACAGTCCCTCGCTCGATGTGGTCCATCACAAAGGAAACAACCACTGAATTTGCTGCCCTTCTCCTTGCTCTTTGAAGTTCCAGCCTCTTGCTTTCCCTTCCCTCTATCTTCATGTGCATTGCCACTTTCACATTTCTTCCACTCCTTCGCCTTGTCCTTCTTTCCGTCGTTGGACTTTGAAGCAGAATTCTCCTCATTAATATGAAAATCGCCCAATGCATCCGCCGCAGCCACAGCACTTGCGAGGTTTTGAATATTCTGCCTTCGCAACTCAAGTTGTGCCCACTGTTGCAGCCCGCTCATGAAGTTATGCAACTTGTCTTCTTCCAACATGTTGCTGATGCTAAGCATCAAAGATGTGAACTCTTTCACATAAGCTCTAACTGATCCGCTGTGTTTCAACTTTTTCAGTTTGTCCCTAGCAATCCAAGATGTATTACTAGGAGAACTGATCCTTCAATTCCTTTTTAAGCCGCTCCCACGACCCAATCTTTGGTCTACCAAGACTTTCATCTTCAGCCACACGAGTGCGCCACCATAACTTAGCATCATCACTCAAATGCATGCTAGTCAAGGTTACTTTCTCCTCTTCGTCTTGCACACGAATAGCATGAAAGTACTGCTCCATATCCCAAAGAAAATTCTCCAATTTACGTGCACTCCTTGCACCTCCGAATGCCTTAGGTTCAGGAATTCTCACTTTGAGACGTTCAGCACCACGTTGAGGAGCATCCTCGCCCACAGCACNCATAAATTGCCTTGCCATCGCCCACGAACTTGGCCCGTTTGCCGCAACTCATTGCCATGACAAATTTGCCCGCGCACTGCCTTCCCGTCGCAGATTTGCTTGCCTTTGCCTATCCGTTTTTGCCTTGCCTTGGCTTCAATGCCTCATGCCTTGATGCCTTTGCCATAATCAAGTGTCACCCTTAGCCCGCAACTCATTGTCAAGCCCTTGCCAAGCTGCCTCGCATCCGTTCAAAGCCTTAGCCATCACTTGCCCGTTTTCCCTTTTTGACTTTGGTGCTACTCGCGCACCTATCTTTGCAACACTCTTGCTGCCTCGTGACAACACTCTTGTTGTCAAGTCGAGCTCAATTGGCGGAGGTCTAACAGTAGTGCTCCTCCTTAGTGCAATGCACGTGTAAATTTTAACATAATTTACATTATCATATTTAGTTAAACGTTGTTTTTTTCACACATCGATCCTTGTTAATAAAAAGTTACTACTATTAATTATTAATTAAGCTCATTAAGGTTACTTCCATGAAAGCTCAGGTGATAATGATGTCGGCTAGTGGGGATTAATATCATATTAATCTAATTTTAGCTATGTGTCGACCGCCTTTTTTTAAGATAAAGGCTAAGGAACGCACATTAATGAAGATTCCAAATGGCACGTTCTCTATCTAGGCTTTTGCAAATGATCATTTTCCTTTTTCTCCTGTTTATTTAATTAAGGATTTAATTTGCACGGATTGAGTATTTGCATTACTTTACAATATTAGTGTATTTTAATTTATTTACTTTTTTCTTAAGTTATCAAATTGGGTTTACTATCGAAAATTAAAAGTTGTTAACAAGTTTTCTATCCAAACGGTGTAAAATAAGTTTATATGATTAGCGTAAAGAAGTTAAACTCACCAACTAATCTTAGAATGTAAAATTATTACAATGTTCGTAGAAATTCTGTTTTAAAAGGCAGAGGACTCGCCCGGGGCTCGTCCCGGAGCGGAGCACTCGTAAAACGCCCCTGGGCTTATGTGTGGGGCTTAGTTCCGTGAGACTTACGCCTCGGCCATCGAGGCTTACGCCCCGGACACGGCCAACGCCCAGCGTACTAGGCTCGCCTAATAGAACTTTATGCAATTGTATGTAACTAACCTTGTAAATCCTCAAATTTTCTTAATAAATCGTTGGCTATTCAAACTTACTTTTTT